TATATATTAATATATAAAAAATTCATCCAATTATCACATAATATTGTGAATAGGATAATAAGGATATGATATAGATACTTCTGTGTACAAAACACATTACATTAATAATAGACATGAATTAAATTCTTTTAAAAACTAGAGTTTAATAAATATATCATAGAGATACTATTTTCAGTTTAGCTCTAGTTTTAGTAGCACAAAGATGCATTTTGTTCCAAAATTTATATGACATGTTGGGGGTATGGCCTATTTGAAGTATAGAATATCTCTTATATATCTTACTAACAATTTGCTTATTAGAAAAAATAGAGATATTATTTAGACGAGTGGGATTCTACCGAACCGATGGAACCTTATTGCGGAGATTATACGCACACAGCACACTAATTAATTACCACTCTTGGCCGGGTGATATTAATTACCATACATGTCTTGTTTATGTTGCTTTTTAATCTTAAGCAACTTTTTCTATTGTTTTTTTTAAGCATATTATTTATACAGAGGAAAGATCGATTATTCATCGTTATGTAATTTTCAATGAAAAATTTAGTTAATTACATAATATTCGAATTTAGAATTTTATTTATTAAACTTTTTTAATTATTTGTTATTAATTGATAAATGTTAGTAACACATTTTTTGAATACACTATTTCTTATTTAATAGAATTTATTGAAAATATGAAAGAATCACTAAATAAGAATATAACTAAATATGGATGTGAGGTGTACTAACTTTTATATTTTCAACAAATTTACTTGAATTAAAAAAAATGAGTTAAAAAAAGTGTGTTCTTACTTCCTGGTATTTTTTGTTACTAAATATGTTCACCGGTTGGGTATAAATATTAAGATAGCGAACATTGATTTGGCAGTGAGTCGCAGAAGAAAAGCAATTTCACTTCTCTCTCACACACACACACACGCAGGAATCGAGAGAGAAAAAAAGAGAGATTAATAAGAATAAGATGGGTACGTGGTTGACAAACGCAAAACCGTATCTGATGTTACTGGCTGTCCAATTTGGTTCTGCAGGCATGTTCATTTTGGCCATGGATGCTATAAAGAAGGGAATGAGCCATTATGTGTTCATTGTCTATCGCAATGCCATCGCCTCTATAACTCTCGCTCCCTTCGCATTTGTTCTAGAAAGGTTTCTTCGCCTTACCTTAGTTTCATGTCTGTAATGAAACCATGCGTATATACTTTTATTTTGCATGCAATTAATATTTTCTGTTCTAAAGTAGAAATAAATTAAGGTACTATATATGAAGATACTATTTTAATTTGCAGGAAAGTTAGGCCCAAGATGACTATCAGGATATTTTCAGAGATTATGGCGCTGGCTTTCTTCGAGTAATGAATATTAAATACAACTTGCAGTTTGTTATTATCTACATATATTTAGTTTATATAGTTAATTAAATTATATGGTGTTAATTGCATGCAGAATAATACTGGATCAGTGTTTCGCCCTCTTGGGCATGAAATTCACGTCGGCATCTTTCCTATCTGCTGTCATGAACTCAGCACCCTCTGTTACTTTTTTGTTAGCAGTCATTCTAAGGTACTTAAGAACTAGGAATTGGATAATCAAAACTTAATGGGATGTTTAGCAAAGAAAAAAGAAAATACAAAAGAATAAAAAAAAATACAGATAATGCATTTTTTTTTATTGTTTGATTAAAGGAAGAATAGGATGGAGGTGTATATAGTTGCCTTTTGAAATAACTCTTTTCTTTCAATTTTTAATATAAAATTTAAAATTTTATCTTCCACTATTTTTTTACATGATTCCAAGCACAATGTTAGAAAAGATTAGGTTCAACTTAAGCTGCACATGTAGTAATATTTTAGTAGTATGTTTGAGAATATATACGATTTTGAAAAAAGAAGAGAAAGAAAAGAGGACAAATTTTATTGTTTTAAATTAAGACACTTATATAATATTTTAAAAGAAATAAATATTCGAAAATTAAATTTATGTTAGCCTATTATTTAATTTCTTTTATTTTAGAAAAATATCTTTCCAAATCTAATTTTCAATGCTAATCTAGTACCACTTTCAATTATTTTTCGGAACTTGATATGACGTAACCTTGGAAGTTGGAATGAAGTGATGTCCTTTCTAATCTTATTAATTGTTATGCACCATTTTTCTTAATTAAAAAGAAAAAAAAAGAAACTTTGAAAAGAAACCAACAATGAATTGTTTTCTGCTCACTCATTGACGGAACAGAGAAACAAATAATAATATATTAAAATATTTGTACACGTGGATATTTATATTTTAAATTATTAACATATTCTTAATTATATAAATTAAATTATTCTAAAAACAAGTTTATATACAAAAAAAATTAAAAATTTATATATAAAAAATTTAAAGGAACCAATAATTCTATATTTAGTATAAACATATATTTTGAAAGTTGTAAATAATATTTTATATTTAATATTGATAACCCATAATAACGGTTAAAAGTAAATATTTATACTCAAATTCAAGAGTCAAATTAGTATATAAAATATTAATTCTCTATTTTATTACCCAAGTATCCAATTCAAGAATATATTTTTTCTTTAAAATAAGATTATTTATCAATAACAAATTAATTTTTTATTACATTAAAAGATTTCTATTTTTCTATTTGTTAATCTATAGTTAGTGCATGAGATGAATAAATTATTTATGTAATATAAGAGGTAGTATGAAGTTATGAGATAGCATAAAGGGAAGAACCATAAATTTTAGCCGCCATATAATTGAATTATATTTGGCAAATCTATAGCAAATAAGGATAAAATAAATAATTTCAATTAAAAAAATCAATACATTTATAATTTGTTGTTTTTATCTTATCACAAGTATTTTTTAATGAAAAATGATACAATCTCGAATTACATTCCGAAACGCGTACTGTGTACCGAATGATTAATATAATAATTTAAATTATAAAATATTAAATTAAATAATTATTTTATAATAAATATTAATTTTTTAATGTTCCGAGAATGATTTGACGAAAAACTTTTGGAGGCTGTATCTTCACTCTTTTTTAATCCAATACGTCAGAGGGTAATTCGATTTCGTTTCGCACATGACATGATTTATTATAAATATATTCTTAACATTAAGTATTTAATTATTATCGAACAACATCTGAAATGAGTTTTCTGTAGCAATATATAAAATGGACATCGCTCTTTGGTGTCCATTTTATTGAAAGATGCTTATATCTCTTGGTTATATTCTAACTTTCTTTTACTAATATATGTTTTGAGAATGAAACAGGAAAAAACACATATAAAATAATAATTACTTTCTTTTAAAAATATATTTTTATATTTTGGGAGAAACGGTACATTTTCCCTTACTAGTTGACTTTAAAATATTTGTTTCTGGGAATCTAATTGACGGAACTGAGTTACAGACGTAGGCAAGACAAAAAGCATAAATTTTGTTTGAGGTTGTCAAAGGTTAAGGAACAGAGAGAATCATAAATTCGATTTATTTTACTGAATAGATTGGAGCACATGAAGATTAAGGAGGTAGCATGTCAAGCGAAAGTGATTGGGACAATAGTAACTTTTGGAGGCACCTTGCTAATGGCACTATACAAAGGCCCCATAGTTAGTGTTATGGGATCTTCATTCAGCCATAATGTGAACAACCCCACGCCCACTGGTAACCACTGGATCATGGGAACATGTTTCCTCCTCATTGGCTGTGCAGGCTTTTCTGCATTTTACATATTACAAGTAAGTTGTTAATTACATAGTTCCACCTTCCAACTAATTAAGTTTATGCATCCAACAAAATCACATATATGTTGATATCGTATGGGAAATGATGCATGATGATTTGGTGATATATGTAGACCATAACATTGAGAAAATACCCAACAGAGATGTCCCTTGCCACTTGGGTTTGCTTTTTTGGTGCACTTCAAAGCTCTGTTGTAGCAATCTTCGCAGAGCGTCACCACCCTCATGCATGGTCTCTTGGTTGGGATACAAGACTCTTTGCTCCTGCTTACGCGGTCAGTGTTTTTGGATTCTATATATATAGTACGCTAAAATGTAACTAACACACCAATTAATTTGGACTCAAAATGAAAACATAAGAACCGGACCATAGTTGTATATATTAATGCAACTTGCGTGGTGTTTGTTTACAACCTTAATTTATCACAGGGAGTAGTTACGTCTGGAGTTCAGTATTACATACAAGGCATGATCATAAAATCAATGGGCCCTGTTATTGTGACTGCTTTTAATCCCCTGCGTATGATCATTACTACTACCTTGGCATGCATCGTTCTCTCTGAGCAACTCTACCTTGGAAGGTACTATAAATAAATTACCAAGTTCAATATGCTTCTCATCTTAATTGTGCATCTTTTTTTTCTCTTGTTGACCTCATTTTGTGCTGAATTATAATGATATCAGTATTGTTGGAGCAATAGTTGTGGTTCTTGGGCTTTATCTAGTAGTGTGGGGAAAATCTAAAGAACGCAAAGGTCAGAGTCAGATGCTAACGTCCCCTGTGGAGGATAACTCTCAAGAAGACCAATGTCATCTACCGGTCACAGCTCCCAGCAATGATAACAAGGCTTAATTAGTTCATTGCCGTCATGAGAAAAGTGATGTGGAGGGCACAATATGAAAATGAGAAAGTTAGCAAAATTATGCCTTGACTTTGTTGAATTAGTCGACATTTGTGTAAAATTCCCATATATTTTAGTCATACTGATCTAAGATTCCAATGTCAATACCATGCAATTAATTGGTACCATATATGAAGTGGCATGACGATGGATACAATTTATCAAATAAGTTTCACTACAAAAAATCAAGTTTTAGCGACCATTTTGGTCGCTATTTAGGTAAATTCAGTCGCTGTTATATTCAGCGACCGAAATAGCGACCGAAAAAATCCGTCGCTTTAACCCTGGTCGCTATTTAAAATAGCGACCAAAATTTTTTCCGTCGCAATTTAGCGACCGAAAAATCCGTCGCTAGGCATAAAAAATCCGTCTCTAAAATGTTGGTCTCCTAACTTCTGGAGACCAATTTTGCGACCGAATTTTTCGGTTGCAATTTCCGTCGCTAAATTTTTTATTTTATATTTAATAAAATATTTAAAAATCAGTCTCTAAATCGGTCGCTAAAAAACTGAAATAGCTACGAATAAATTCGGTCGCTATTTCGGTCACTAAAAATTTAAAGTAACTACGAATAAATTCGGTCACTATTTCGGTCGCTAAAAATATAAAATAGCTACGAATAGATTCGGTCGCTATTTCAGTCGTTAAAAACTTGAATTAGCTACGAATTATTTCGGTCACTATTTCGGTCGTTAAAAACTTGAATTAGCTACGCATTATTTCGATCGCTAATGCTAACCAGTATTTTTAAATTATTTTTAAATTATAAATTTATACCTGTTAAAATTAACAATATATTTATTACACAATGTATAATAATAAACTAGAACATACTAAAAGACATAATCTCATCGATGTAAATTTATATTATAGTGAAAACTATATAAAATATAAGCGTCAATATAGTATGCTAAAAACACAATAATAACATAAAACGTTTAAACTTCAACAAAGTAATATGAAATACAATAAAATGTCCTAAAACAAGTAAAATAAAGAAGCTTAATTAAGGGTCTTCTGCTATGTCATCAAAAGCATCATCAATAGCATGATCAGGATCATCTGGGGTAGTACTCGGTGCAGGAGGCGTTGGCTTTAAAGGGTCAATGTTGAGATGGCGTAGTATATACTGCATCTGCTTATCATGCTGTCGTATATACTCTTCCAATGCTTTTAAAAATATATACACAAAGTGTATTATATATAAGGAACTAAGAAATGATGACAGATAAATTATCTTTTCATTGTTAAGTATGTAGCAGACCATACAACATGCAGGATTATCTACTTGAATAAATTATTTTGGAGATATCATATAATATTCCTTCAATATCCAGTATATATGAACATATTTGTTTCCGTCATTATTCAACCATATATATAAATGTAAGCAACTAAACCAATTAAAATCATGACTTTATTGCGGATTCAATCTCTACACTTTCTTTTATCAATAATATAATTCAATCTCTACTTTAGTTTTTAGTTTGTAAATGTATAAAAAGGAAAACAAAAATAATGAGGTTTGTTTGAAGTATTTTCCTATACATAATAATAATATAATAAAGAAGACTAAAGAGGTGTATTAATTTAGGGCGTAAGAACGACATTGGTGAAAATAAAAGCTGAGGACCCATAGCTCTTAATCAACATGAATCATTTTAGGCAAAGTTGTCAGCACCTCTTAAGAAAAAATGGTTGGAGTGTCTTCCACACATTTTTTGTTAGATACTACTCTATTTACTAAATTTTGTGTACAAATCTATATATACATTTAGAATTTTCATTTTTTCTTTTCATAAGCATTAATATTAAAAAAGTTACTACTAGTAGTTGTTATACGGACTAAAGACGGAATCAGAATAATTGGAATAGGTGAGATAGAAAAACATGTCAAATCAACTAATTCTTAGTTACAAGAAATTAATATGCTGAATAGTATTCATATATCTTAGAAAAAAGTTTTAATTATGAGTAAAATATTAAAGTTTTAATTATGAATAAATTAATTCCTCTCATGGTTAGTATATGAGAAAAAAGTTGAAATCAATAATAACATGAAAAATATATTAATTTATTTTAAAAGAAAGCTCTTAAAAAATGATTGCTGAAAATCTACGTTAGTATATGATGGAAATATCCTGCATTTAGTATATATATAGATACAGAATGAGAGAAATATCCAGCATTTAGTATATGTAAATGCGGAATGAGGGGAATATCCCATTTTAGAAATTGGGGATTTGATTGATTTTTTGTACCCTTAATTGTTCCCTTGATCATAAAAAGAGAGCATATGTGTGGGTTTAATATTACACATAACACAAGATTCACCAAACAATTTCAACAAACTAAAAAATTACAGCCGTGCTTAGGCACAAGAACAAGCTTAGAAAATACCATTTTTCAATCAGCCCAGACAAAAGTATCTAAAGAGCAGAATTCAATAGAAGAAAGCAAACATAATACACATGATGGCTCGACAGAGAATATTAAGGAGAAAGAATTTAGGATGAACTTTGTCCACCATGGATGTTGGAAAGGAATGTTGCATAACTATGGAGTAGCAACTGGTTTCATCACTTCAAGTATATATATATATAAATTACTTTCAATAGTAAACCAAGAAATCAAATTAGTGCAGCGGTATTGTGGTCGGCCCATCACTCACATGACCAGGGTTCGAAACTGGCTGTGTAATTTTAATGAAAATATATTTATATAGGAAAGCCACATCAGTTCAAAATTTAGCGGTATTGTGGTCGGCCCATCACTCACATGACCAGGGTTCGAAACTGGCTGTGTAATTTTAATGAAAATATATTTATATAGGAAAGCCACATCAGTTCAAAATTTAATACAAAAAATTTAGCGACCGATTTGAAATCGGTCGCTAACTTTTAATTATATATTGCTACCGAAATGTAATCGGTCGCTAAAAAAAATTCAAAAGTTAGGATTAGCGACCGAATTACATTCGGTCGCAATTTATTTTAATAATTTTTCAATATCGGTCGCTAATTCCGTCGCAGAATATTTTTCATGAAAAACAATTCAACAGCGACCGATTTAGCGACCGATTTTCTCGCTACCACTATAATCGGTCGCTAATTCGGTCGCAAAATAGAGACCGAAAAATTTCGGTCGCTAATTCGGTCGCTATTTTGGTCGGTCGCTAATTCGGTCGCAAAATAGCTAATATAAAAAGGGTATCAATTCATATGCTCATGTTCTATTCAGTGGAATAAAGATAAAATAGAAATTATCTTTTGGAGAGATGGCTGAGTGGTTGATAGCCCCGGTCTTGAAAACTGGTATAGTTCGAAACAAAGAACTATCGAGGGTTCGAATCCCTCTCTCTCCTTTTTCTCGGCGAATATATTTTTATATTTGAGTAGTTTCTATCTAATCTTTTCGGGCTGGGCTACGTGATGATATAGCCCAACCCGAAAAGATTAGATAGAAATGAAAAAAAAAAGGAAAAATCTGATTTCAATACGACCATGAGTTCACTTTGAGTTGCTCAACCCGAAAAAAAAAGATATTAAATGAAATACTTGTCATTAATGGTAAAATAAGAATTACAAAGTTATATATATACCTCAAGAAAAGGCAAAATAGAAAAACTAACCTACACAGGTTAAATTAGTCTAAGCTATCAGTTAAAAAAATAAAAAGGAGATAAAAAAATTAATTAACAACTAAATTAAAATAACAATTAATAAATGGATAATGGTATATTGTAATAGCCTCCCTCAAGTTGGACGAAAAATATTTTTGAGAACCAACTTGCTTGTCAGATCTTCAAACTTATGTCTTGGAAGAGCTTTTGTAAATATATCTACTATTTGTTGATGTGTCTTCACATGGATGAGTCTTATGAAACCTGATTCAATGTGTTCTTTGACAAAATGAACATCAATGTCTATGTGTTTTGACCTCTGATGAGAGATAGGGTTAGTTGACATATATATTTCTGAAATAATATCACATAACACCATTATCATTTGAGGTTGATTTTGGAAGAATCTGAGGAGTTGTTTAAGCCATAATAATTTTGAAGTTATAGAAGCAATTGCCCTATACTCAGCTTCTACTGAAGATCTAGATACAATAACTTGCCTTTTTGATTTCCATGTCAGAAGAGAATCTCCCATGAAGATACAAAAGCCTATGGTGGACCTTCTGCTTTCAATAAACCTTCCCTAGTCTGCATCTACATATGCACTCAGATTTAACTTGGATTTCGAGGAAAAAAAGATGCCTTGCCCAGGATTTGCCTTTAGGTATCTTAGAACTTGATGAACAACTTGAAGGTGTGGTGTCCTAGGTTTGCTCATGAATTGGCTTAGCTTATTTACTGTAAAACAAACACAAGATCTAGATATGCTTATGTACATGAGTCTTCCTGACAACCTTATATAAGCAGAAGGGTCTTGAAGTGGTTCTCCATCAATTGAGTTGAAATGTTGATATGAGTCCATTGGAACAACAATTGGTTTTGCATTGCTGAAACTTGTGTCTTCTAAGAGTTGAATATTATACTTCCTCTGGCATAAGTGAATGCCTTGATTTGACTTATATAGTAATTTTCGATCCAAGGAAGAACTTAAGATCTCCTACAATGTTGAGTTTGAACAAATTCTAAAGTAGGTTTTGGCATTCGTGTAAAGAATCTATATTTGGCCCTACTAGTATTATGTCATCCACATATACTAGCGGGTAAACTATGTTGTTTCCACTACCAAACATGAAGAGAGAGTAATCACTTATGCACTGAATAAAGCCATGAGATTTCAAGGATGTAGAAGATCTCTTAAACCATTGTCTTAAGGCTTGCTTTAGACCATATAGGGATCTATTCAACTTGCACACAAGATTACCATGATCTTGTTGATTTATTTTGTAACCCTATGGTATCTTCATATAAAATTCTTCACTCAAATATCCATTTAAGAAAGCATTTTGGACATCCAGCTAAATGAAAGACCATTTCTTAATGGCTGCTAGGGATAAAAGGACTCTAACAGTAGTTATAATGGCCACTAGTGAGAAAGTGTCAAGGAAGTCTATGCCATCTTCTAGTGTAAAGCCTCTTGCAACAAGTCTGGTTTTTTTTTTTTTGCTAGAGTGCCATCAACATTGT